ATAGAAATAATGTTAAATTGAGAAAAATGATATCAAATCCATTCAAATTTGAATAAAATTAAAGATAAATTAACATCATATTATGTACAAGAATTCAACTTATTAAGTACTTAAAGGAAAATTGGTAAATTTTGTATTGAAGTTTTTGTTAAGACTTTTGTTGGGCTATTAATACAAGATTTCTCCCACCATAAAGAGAGAGAGAGAGAGAAAAAAAAGAGAACCGAAAGGAGGATTATGATGACAATAGTGTTTTTTTTTTTAATAGCAAAGATTAAATATTTTATTCAAAATTAAGGAGTATAAGAGGTACTCCAAACCTATTACGCATTCAATTATATCATTTTTTTCAAACAAAACAAAGTTTGAATTTTTTCCCTTCCTTGTTGACAAGCCCCTACACCTATCTACATGGTGTTCCACTAATGCATTACCAAGCATGATACTTCTTAGTAAGCTTGTTTCATCTTCCCCCTTTCTTCATGCATTCTCATGGCTCCAATAACCAGTCAGAGAAGCTCACACACCATTCCTCCTTGCTTGCATTTAGCCATTCAAATGATCTAAGTTATACATTCTCAAATATTCTAATTACATCACACTGTTTTCCTTAGAATATAACATTATTTTTGGCTAACTAAGGGACCATACAGTAAGTCGCCAATCCTTTTTTCATTTCTTCTATATTTTGTCTCTGTTTTCCCTCAATTTCCAAAAAGTTATTTTTATTTTGGCACCAAGAGCTCCTTATACATTAGTGAAAAAACTTGGTATTAGCATCTCCCTCTTTGACCCACTTCTTTCTAACCTTCTGTTTCAATATATCATTCTGTGTCTGCATCTTTTTCCTCAACTTTACCTCCAATGCTCTTTTGACACTCACTTACACTTCAGAAAGGCCACCAATTTCAGCTTTCATGTCTGAACCATTGACCTTTGCCTTGCACTCATCAATTTTAGAACCAATGTCTCCAAATTGATCTCTACTTTAGCATTTTAGAAAACGTTTTGTTGCTTTTAACTTTTCCTTAAGAACAAAACCCTTCCACCCATGCACATCTACTTCCTTCCACACTTTTGTGACTTCACATTTAAAATTAATATGTTTCAGCCATGCATTGAAAAAACAGAAAGGTTTCGAACCTTAGTCCTTAATCTCATTCTTTAGTAAAATTAGGCAATGATTTGAAAAGCTTTTTTTCAACTTGTATTGCTTTAGACCTTCCTAATTCAATAATAGTTCACTAGAAACAAGAAACCTATCTAATTTACTGATAGCAACTCCATTTGATTGGTACAAAGTGTATTTCCTCCCAATTAGTAGGTCTAACAACATAAAGTTCCTTATAAAATCATCAAAATCTCTCATGTCTACTTGTGTACCTTGGCACCTTTTCCTTTCCTCCAATGATCTTGTAGCATTAAAATCTCTACCAATGCACCAATTACCCTTATTACTAGAAATCAAATTAGCTATTTCATCTCACAACTACCTCTTCTCAGAGCTTTCACACGGAGAGTATATATTAACCACACAACAAGGCACTACATTAGGCCCCTAAAAAGCCCATAACACCTAAAAAACTATCACCCTCCAACAACTTTTCCATCCTTAACACCTCCTTATTCCAAATACAGAATAAACCTCCAGATCTTCCCTCAGATACTTTAGCAGCTCACTCAAAGTTGTCCTCTCCCCAAATTTCTCTACATAATCTTCTATCTACTAACTAATTTTGTTCCTTGAATAAGTAAAAACTCCACCCTCTCATTTCTTACAAGACTTCTAATCTGTCTATTTTGCCCCCACCCCTCAATCCTCTAACATCGTGAGACGATATAATCATTTTTTCTTACCTTCCCCAACATCACTGTGTTTACAGCTACTTATAGTTATCTTGCATCGTTGCCAATCTCTTAATTTCGTCTGCTCCAATTTCTTCAGAATTTCATCCTTCAATTCAGTAGCTATCGCCCCAATCAACTTCGCAAACTCCCATATTTCCTTGGCCCCCAATAGCTTCTCCTTAGCTAAAATCCCTCTATTATAATTGTTACTGTTGTTGTCTTCCAGCGATTCCCCAACTACATGGTTCCTTGAATTTGAAAAAAATTCTAGTGTTATTGAGTTTGAAACGATCTTTTTCCTTGATCTTTCACCATTTCTCTCTCTTGTTCCTGACTAAATCACCTTGGTATCCTTGTAAATTGTAGCACACAATCTTGCTTTTCTCTCCTTCTTTTTACTTTTCTTCTTTTAGCTCCTTTCATCCATTCTTGTATTGATCTTTAATCGCTATCAATATTTTCCCAAAATGCACACTGTCGATTCTCTACACCAGATCCAACCAAAGAACTGCTCCACCAAGTTGGCTTGGACGCCCCATCTATAGCCTGTTTCATATCTCCTTGGCCTAACTCACGATCTTGGGTTTCTTAGACCTTTTCATGATTTGAAGTATGAATTGAACCACCAATGAGCTTTGATGAAATTGGTCAAATTGACGATCCCACCTTTCTTTATTCGCGGCATGCTAGTCATCATGCACTTCCTCAAATTGTTCTCTAGCTAGCTTTTCGCCCCATGCAGCCATCATTCTGTCAGGGCCAGCCTAACCGACATCAACAATTGCCCTAGAAATTTAACTGTAATGCTATAGTTAGAATTTAAACTTTGTGCCCCCTCCAATTCCAAGCCTTGAGCAGCTGCATGTTATCTTCTTCTCTAACTTCCTTCCAAGACAAGACGAAAATCCACCTTCATCACCAAAAATTGACTAGCCCTCTATAGAACTTGATTGCCCCCAAGAATCACCACTATATTCCTTATCTAGAGGATTGTTAACAATCTAATCTAATTTCATGGAGAAACTATCAAGTGGCACCTCTTCCTCAACACACTTAATGTTACAGAACTCTCCATTAATTTTTACTTTCATAACCTGTAAAATGACCTCAATACAAGATGTGGAAATTAGAACTCAAGCTACATTGAACCTCTCTTTCTGATATGTGCTATCATTTATGGACACAAAATTCCCCCACAACAAACTCAAATCATGAAAAAACTTTGAACCCCATTCATGAAGAGGAATCCCCTAACACCATATCCATGTGAATCTTTGACTGGCTACCATGTTTGGAGTCCACGACTTACTTCATCAAACCATTGCCCTAGCTACTCGCTTGCATTCTCTACTAAATACTTTAGCTCATCCTTATCTTTACACTATAGGAGCACAAGTTTATCCCTCATAGGCTTCAATGAACACAAGAAATAACCTTCCATATAAAATCGATCTTGAAGGGAAGGGATTATCTCCACTGTCCTAATAGTCTTTACAAAACAACCCTTCACATTGAATTCTTTTTCATCCACATTGAAGTCCCATCCATTCTAGTTTCAGCTTCCTTGTTTAACTTTCCATGTTTTCATGCCCCCACTCTTAATGGTGTTCTGGTTCCCTATTGTTTCAGCCTGGGCTACCTATGTCACCTTCCCCACTACCACATCAAAATATGACTTTTGTACCATCCCTGTGTGTTATCTATTATTTGTCTGTTTCTTCTCCCATTCTTAGTTTTAACATTTGAGAATCTATCAAATTTTGGCTGGTTAACATGAAGCTTCTTGCCCCCAACTCTAATCTCATCAAGTTCCCTTTCTAGAGCTTTTGGATTTCTCACCTCTTGGAATTGAACAAATCCAAACCTCCACCCATCCTTGTCTCTCCTGTTCGGATAATATATCTACTAC